AGTGTCTGTGTCCAGACATGGTCTGGATTTAGCTGGGCTACTTGTTGTGGGGGACAGGGGAGGAGATGACTCACCAGGGTCCCCAGGGTAGAGCGGGTACTGCAGCCTGGGATCTGTCTGCTGAATCCTGTCATCCTCCTCATGTCTGTTTGCTCCGTTCATACAGCCGGCGCCATCTTGGATCCCTGCATGAACAGCAGGGAAGAAATGACTTAACTTCCCCGGCTGTCCCGGGGGTTTTTCGGCGGCGGGGCATCGCTGGGGAGGATTGTGCACCTCTGCCCTTGCTCTCTGTGAGGTTCAAATCCCTTGGGGCCGGTGTGTGCCATGTCGGGTCTGGCGGATGGACGGAGCGGGTTTCGCTGCACGTCCATTCAGGAGCCGGCCGCGCATGCGCCCCAACAGAAGAGTATTTTAACTTGCATCATTTGTTGGAGTTTTTAAAGGACTTTTATTTATGGACACTTTTGTTATTTAACACTTACAGTTGTCAAAACACATACAGTATATTTTTATATCTTCACATGTTTATAGTAAATGTGGTATTGATTATCACAGGAAGGTGGTAAATATATAGGACAAATAGCACTTGAAATGTGGAAATGTGCCTCCTTCCGTTCTAGCTTGTTTTGGTATGAAGGAAGACGGCACCACCTTGGTCCTTGTTGTCAGGCAATGTTAATTCCTCTTTATTCTTCCTCATCATGTCTAGTCAGAACCCAGAAGGTGCAGGTAATTGTGAGTAGGTGGGCCATGCTGTGCCAAAAGCTGTTTGCCTTCCCATATGGAAGAAAAATATATTTGAAATATATTTTCAAAATATTATTTCCAAATATATTACCATATATTTGAAATACTATTTTTTTAAAAATATATTAGTTTTAAATATATTCTTCAGATTTTTTTTAACATACAAAAAAGTCATGTTAACATATATTTTTACATATATTATATTTTAAATATTTTTGGAATGCATTTATAAATATATGTAAAAATATATGTTAACATGACTTTTTTGTATGTTAAAAAAAATCTGAAGAATATATTTAAAACTAATATATTTTTAAAAATAGTATTTCAAATATATTATATTTTAAATATTTTTGGAATGCATATATAAATATATTTGAAATGTATTTTTAAAAATATTTGTCCTATATTTTGTAATAAAAATGCATTTAAACATGATATATATATTTATTTATTTATTGAAATATATTTTGAAATATATTGAATATCGCCAAAATTTTAATATTTCAAATATATGGCAATATAGTTGGGAATAATATATTTAAAATATATTTCAAATACATTTTTCTTCCATGTGGGCTAGAGGAAAGTCCTAGAACTCATACACAAAATGGATTGGTGGGGGCGCTGCAAAACTTTTCCCACTTACATGAAAGCTCAGGCCACACCTTGTCATATGGATCTTTGACACTTTCAGGGTTCACTAAACGCCTTGTGTTTTTTTTTTTTTTCCACGGAATACAAGGAATTCTGTGATTGAAGGGTGAGAATTAAGTGCATCCCTGCCCCTGCCCCTCCTCTCATCTTTTGTGATTGAGCATGGAGTGAGGAGGTATGGGGTCCTTCACTGCCATTAGCCACTGCTCTTATGGCTGCAACATTCAGAAATCCAGTGAAGCGAACTTGTAATGAGTGATGATTTTACTGCTATGCAGTGGCACCTGAATCCGCATTGCATTATTTGCACCTGTTTAGTAAACAGTAAGTTAGTTACTTGGGCAGCACAGTGGCTAAATGGTTAGCACTTCTGCCTGGCAGTACTAGGGTTCTTGGTTTGAATCCCAACCACGGCACCACCTGCCTGGAGTTTGCATGTTTTCCCTTTGCTTGCATGGGTTTCCTCCGGGTATTCTGGTTTCCACCCACACTCCAAAGACTTGCTGGTAGGTTAATTGGCCCTAGTATGTGTATGTATAAATGTAAGTTAGGGACCTTAGATTGTACGCTTCTTGAGGGTTAGGGACTGATGTGAATATACAATATATATGTAAAGCGCTGCATAATTGATGGTGCTATATACAGGTGAAACTCGAAAAATTAGAATACCGTGCAAAAGTTAATTTATTTCAGTAATGCAACTTAAAAGGTAAAACTAATATATGAGATAGACTCATTACATGCAAAGCAAGATAGTTCAAGCCGTGATTTGTCATAATTGTGATGATTATGGCTTACAGCTCATGAAAACCCCAAATCCACAATCTCAGAAAATTAGAATATTGTGAAAAGGTGTAATATTCTAGGCTCAAAGTGTCCCAATCTAATCAGCTAATTAAGCCATAACACCTGCAAAGGGTTCCTGAGCATTTAAATGGTCTCTCAGTCTGGTTCAGTAGTAATCACAATCATGGGAAAGACTGCTGACCTGACAGTTGTGCAGAAAACCATCATTGACACCCTCCATAAGGAGGGAAAGCCTCAAAAGGTAATTGTAAAAGAAGTTGGATGTTCCCAAAGTGCTGTATCAAAGCACATTAAAAGAAAGTTATGTGGAAGGGAAAAGTGTGGAAGAAAAAGGTGCACAAACAGCAGGGATGACCACAGCCTGGAGAGGATTGTCAGGAAAAGGCCATTCAAAAGTGTTGGGGACTTTCACAAGGAGTGGACTGAGGCTGGAGTCAGTGCATCAAGAGCCACCACACACAGACGCATCCTGGACATGGGCTTCAAATGTCATATTCCTCTTGTCAAGCTGCTCCTGAACAACAAAAAATGTCAGAGTCTTACCTGGGCTAAAGGAAAATAGACCTGGTCTGTTGCTCAGTGGTCCAAAGTTCTCTTTTCCAATTAGAGCAATTTTTGCATCTCATTTGGAAACCAAGGACCCAGAGTATGGAGGAAGAATGGAGAGGCACACACTGCAAGATGCTTGAAGTCCAGTGTGAAGTTTCCACAGTCTGTGTTGATTTGGGGAGCCATGTCATCTGCTGGTGTTGGTCCACTGTGCTTCATTAAGTCCAGGGTCAACGCAGCCGTCTACCAGGAGATTTTGGAGCACTTCATGCTTCCTTCCGCAGACGAGCTTTATGGGGATGCTGACTTTATTTTCCAGCAGGACTTGGCACCTGCCCACACTGCCAAAAGTACCAAAACCTGGTTCAATGACTGTGGGATTACTGTGCTTGATTGGCCAGCAAACTCGCCTGACCTGAACCCCATAGAGAATCTATGGGGCATTGCCAAGAGAAAGATGAGAGACATGAGACCGAACAATGCAGAAGAGCTGAAGGCCGCTATTGAAGCATCCTGGTCTTCCAAAACACCTCAGCAGTGCCACAGGCTGATAGCTTCGATGCCACGCCACATTGAGGCAGTAATTGCTGCAAAAAGGGCCCAAACCAAGTACTGAGTACATATGCATGCTTATACTTTTCAGAGGTCCAATATTGTTCTATGTACAATCCTTGTTTTATTGATTGCATGTAATATTCTAATTTTCTGAGATTGTGGATTTGTGGTTTTCATGAGCTGTAAACCATAATCATCACAATTATGACAAATCATGGCTTCAACTAGCTTGCATTGCATGTAATGAGTCTATCTCATATATTAGTTTCACCTTTTAAGTTGCATTACTGAAATAAATGAACTTTTGCACGATATTCTAATTTTTCGAGTTTCATCTGTAAGTACCTGAAATAAATAATACTGTCTTTCTGGTCATTCAGCCAACTAACCTCTCTGTTAATATTATCATCTACAAACAGGATTGTCAATGTCAGACAACTGTGATACAAACGGTGTGACAGAGGAGCAAGGTAGTACTGTTCTAGAGGAAAGCAGGCAACCTACTGTCCCTGCAATGATGATCACCTTATTCCTGGCAGAATTCCTTCTGCAACAATAACCCAAGTACATAGGGCCAGATTAAGACTTGGGTGAGTAAGAGATTGCGGGGTCTGATCCAGGGGCGGACTAACAACTCATGGGGCCCCCGGGCAATAGGGGATCAGGGGCCCCTGTGTCCTTGCCCAGACTCAATAAAGCCTATGAAAAAGCTACCAGGGGCATCTCATGGGGCCCCCTACTGGCCCCGGGCCCTTGGGCAGTGCCCAAGTTTCCAAATGATCAGTCCGCCCCTGGTCTGATCTGATCATTGAGGAGAGATTCACTGTAGCTGTAGTGCTATCCACTCAGTAGCCACTGTATTTGTATGGGTCCTCATGTCCTACCCAGGGATGCCCTGCCCTGTCGCAGGACCTATTAAAAAACACTGTCGCATCTAGAACTATGAATCGGGCTTTATTAAGAAGGCAAAGTCCTCAAAGAAAGGTTTGGTTAAAGTGGAATAACAGACAAGATGGGTTGGACAGTTTTATAACAGTAAAGCAAATACAGTATAACCTTTGACACAATTACCAAGGTAACACTGATCATTACCCTTTGCAGCCTGTGAAATAACTGGTACAGAACACACTAGGCTGGCATAAAGGGAATGACACTGACACATCTGTCCCAGTAGTAACTTCCCCAACATTGCAAAGTATACGATGAAAGTATCAAAAAGGGCAGTACAAATAACTTTAACAACAGCACTATACCCTACCTACCACAGATTCAGCTAATCTTTCACCTCTTGAGGAAAATAATGTGTGCATTTATCGAATGTCTGTGTATTAGTCTGCTAAAGAGCAGAGTGTACTGATTAGAAGTATCAGGAGCAAAGCGCTATCACACTTTGAATGACAATTGCGCGGTCATGCAACACTGTACCCATATAAAATTTTGAAAAACAAACATTTTTTCTTAGTTTTTGTTATAAAATTTTGTAAATAAGTGATTTTTCTCCTTCACTGATGTGCGCTAATGAGGCTGCAGTGATGAGCACTGATAGGCTGCACTAATGGACACTGATAGATGACACTGATGGGCACTGATGAGGAGGCACTGGTAGGTGGCACTGATGGGCACTGACAGGCATCACTGATGGGCACTAAAAGGCAGCACTCATATATGGCACTGATAGGCGGCACCGTTAGGTGGCACTGACTAGCACTGTTCGGTGGCACTGACTGGCACTATTAGGTGGCACTGATAGGCAGCACTGACGGACACTGATAGGTGGCACTGATGCACACTGATAGGTGGCACTGATATGCGGCACTGACGGGCACTAATAGGTGGCACTGATTGGCAGCACTGATAGGAGGCACTGACTGGCACTGATAGGTGACACTGAAAGGCAGCTCAGATGGGCATTGATGTGGCACTGATGGGCACTGAAATGTGGCACTGATGGACACTGGCAGGTGGCATGGATGAGCACTGACAGCTGGCACTGATGGACACTGACAGGTGGCACTGCTGAGGCTACACAGATCATCAGGGCTCACTGATCATCAGTGCTCTGATGATCTGTGTACATGTCCCCTCCGAGGAATGCCGATTTCCGCATACTAGAACATTATGAAACACTTACCTGAAAACAAAGCCTTCCAGCGGAGCGTTGTCATGGCTCCATGAGGCTTTCATCTTCATCCGGTCTTCCTTCCGGGCTCCCAGGCTGTGGGTGTTTGACTGGCTGAGCCGCAGTGATGTCACTCCCTCTCTCAATGGAATGCACGCTGAAGTAAATATCTCCTAAATGGTGCACGTTTAGGAGATATTTACAGTATCTACTGGTAAGCCTTATTAAAGGCTTACCTGTATGTAAAACATGAAAGAATGACTTTACTTCACTTTAAAATTTGCAATTGTACAATTTTTGGCCCTGTTTGTCAATCATGCCCACAAATTGAACCTAAGCAGGTTCGCCCATCACTTGTAGTAATAGGGTCTTTTTACGCCATAAACCCACATTCCCCGCATATCCTATCCCCATAGTAATCATTTTTTGTATAATACACCTACAAATATACCCACAATGGTAGGTAGGACTAAATGGCAGAGACAGCAGTGCTGGGCATGGATGTAGTAGGGAGCTAAAGCTCTATTTTTTTTTTTTTTTGAAAGGCAATTCCCTGCGACTTCTGTCTCCACCTTTTGTACTGTTGGCACTGCTGTCAAACTGTGGTGTCACTGGCATATTTTTACCTAGGAAGACAGCTGCCTGTGACTTGATTTCACATTTATACCTGTTAGCACTACCATCAAACTATTCTGCTGTGGCCCAATTTTTATCTACCCAGACCTGAGAGCTGTAGATCTCATTTCTAAGAAAGAAACCTCCCTGTGGTTTGTGTCTCCCCATTTATGCCTGTTGGTGCTGCCATCAAAATGTGGTTACAGTGGTCCGTTTTCACCCACCTATACTGGAGGGCTGTAACTCTATTTTTTTATGGGAAGATATCTCTTTGTGGATTCTGACATTTTAGGTCTGGTAGAAGTTTTAAGGGGAACCCCACCCCCCAAAAATGGGGGGGAAGCGTGGGGTCCTCCCTAAATTCCTACCATACCCTTGAACCGAGCACAGGTTTGGCAGGTCAGAAAGGGGGGACAAGTGAGTGCCCCCCCTGAACTGTACCAGGCCACAAGGTGCTTTGGGTTAGGGCCCCCCCAAAGAACCTTGTCCCCATGTTGATGGGGACAAAAGCCTCTTCCCCACAATCCTGGGCTGTGGTTGTGAGGGTCTGTGGGGGTGACTTATTGGAATCTGGAAGCCTTCTTTAACAAGGCGCCCCCAGATCCCAGCCTCCCCATGTAAATGAGTATTGGGTATAAAGTACCCCTACTCATTCACTGAAAAAGTGTAAAAAGCGAGTAACAATGCAACAACAGTTTTTGACAAGTCCTTTATTAAAAAAAGAAAAAAAAAAAGTCCCGCCGGCCCAAAGCACCCCCCATATTGAGGGCATGTGACAGTTTAGGAGAGGGGGGAACTCGCTTATTCATACCCTTTCCTGACCGGCCAGGCTGCATGCTCGGATAAGGGTCTGGTATGGAGTTTGGGAGGGACCCCATGCTTCCTGGCCCTCTCCTTAACAATCAACTATTCTTCACACAGAATTCGGTCGATAAGATAATTCCCCTACCCATTCACCAAAAAAAAGTGTAAAATGTGAATAAAAAAACAACAACAGTTTTTGACTAGTCCTTTATAAAAAAAAAAATAAAGAGCCAAAAATTAGTTCCATCGTTGTAATCCATTTTCAATCACGACGTTCAGCATTGTCACGCTGACATCGACTATAAGAAATAAGAAAAAAAAATGACGGCCGCCAACCTATCCACACCTGCCAAGCACTCACCGCTATCTGACATTTGCAGGTCAGATGTAAACAAATGGGCGGAGTTAGCGGTGATGTCACTGCTAGCTCCACCCAATTGTGCTGTGATTGGCCAAAGCAGTGCACCTGACTTGTGGTCAGGTGCACTGCTTTGGCCAATCACAATGCACTGCCAGAGCACAGTGCATTGTGGGGTGCGGTGGATGAAGAGCATGCCGAAAGCCCTTAACGCTTGTGTATTCACCGAACACAAACGGCTGATGTTCGAGTTTAACTTACATTCGACTCAAACATTAAGGACATCACTACTCAGGAATCCACAGGCAATAGTGCAGCAAATGAAATAACCACTTGCTTCCCAAGCCTAGTATTCTGACATTTTTCTCATACATGTAAAAATTATATTTTTTTTTTTTCGCTAGAAAATTACCAAACATATATATGTGTTTTAAACAGAGGCCCTAGAGTAGAGAATGATGGGTGTTGAAATTTTTTATATCACACAGTATTTACACAGCTATTTTACACACAATATTTTGGGAAAAGATACAATTTAATGAATTTTAATGCAAAAAAACAATACATAACCCAAATTTTTATAAAATATAAAAGATGATGTTACATCGAGTAAATAGATACCTAACATGTCACACTCTCAAATTGTGCATACTCATGGAATGGCACCAAACTATGGTATTTAAAATACTTTATAGGCAACGCTTTAAAAATTTTTACAGGTTACCCATTTAGAGTTACAGAAGAGGTCTAGAACTAGAAATTTTGCTCTCCCTCTGTTTACATATGCAGACATGACCTACAAATTCCAATGTGCGTGAGCATTGAGGGATAGGGGCGCTTTAATTTTTTCTTTTTTGTACACTGTTCCTTAATTTTTTTTTTTTTTATCACTTTTATTCCTTTCACAAGCAATGTAAACATTGCTTGAGACAGAAACACATGACAGGTCCTATTTATGGCGAGATATGGTCTATAAGACTGCACATCTCTCCTCTATGCTAGAAAGTCTGAGATAAAAAAAATTATCTCAGGCTTTCCAGCAACAAAATGGCAGTGTTCACATCTGCCATAACCAGAAGTGAAGTTTTGAGGTCGCTTCAGGCCTCCCAGGATCGTAGAAATGTCTGGAGACATTCTGGTTACTATTCTCCCCATAATTGTTTTTTCTTTCATCTTTTACCTTGTCCACTTGTCCCCAAAAAACCTACCCACTTGCCTAGTGAATCCAGAATTGTCTGGTATAATCCACTGCTCCACGTCTGTACACTGGGTCCTGCACAACCATCTTCTCATCAGGGGGCCATCTGTCTCTTCCCAGTTCTTCCAGCCAGCCCCCTGATGACACACCATGACACATGTGTGGTGTAGATTTTCTGGGACATGCACAGTGTGGTTTAGATTGCCCCAAAGCCACCTTGGATGCATTGTGTGAATATTCCAGGCGGCTTTAGGTCGAGGGAAAACAAAATTCTCTCTTAGTCCTGAAAGGCAGGAGCACGGAGAAAGATCCACATGAAAAGGTAATTAAAAAAAAAAAAGAAAAGCTGGATCTGTTATTTCATGAAAGGTGCTGGGGGGTGTCAGGGGGTAGAAATATTCTTTACAGCAAAAAAAATGGAGTGAAATTGCATTTTAAGTAAATGCTATCACCCTAGAAATGGAAGTGTCTGTGGCTATACTTTGACAGTAGGATTTATTTGAAAGCAGAACAAATACTGTACGGATGTCACACACTCATTCACTCAGGCTGCACAAGTTCTCTTTGTATTTTCTCTAATACTATGACTTCCTATGCTCATGAACTCCATCTATTGGCCAAAATGCAGTATAGTTTCTGTTTGAGGTATTTTAGAAAAATATACCGCATATAGGACTCTAGATGGAACTGATGATCATAGGAATTCATAGTATTAGAAAAAAAACACGGAAAAAAATGTGTAGCCTGGATGAATTGGTGTGACATTATTCCAGTGAAAAATAGACCCCTATAAATATAACAGAGGGTTTAACTTTCTGAAAATCCTCAGCTGTGTCCAGTTAACACAATTTTTTTGTTTGCATTAGCAAAGACTTTCTAAGCTACTTGGTGGTAAAAGCTCATCTAGCAGTCTTCCAAAGTGACCAAAGTGGCCATCAAAATTGCTTCCACATTGACTTCAATACAATTTTTGAAATTCAGGTTTGTTAACTTTTTTAATAATATTATTTAGGTAAAATTGCATTTTGGCTTATTTATCCGTCAATATCTTTATTTCAAATATACATACAACCCTTAATTATTTTTTATTTTTTTTTACTACATATGCATTCTGAGATTCCTAACATTTTGACAATTTTGACCATCTGTGCAGTTAAAAGAGTAGATATTTTTTTCTATCTTATACCAGCATACAGGAGAGTAATTAACTCTCAAGAAAATGATCTATAGTACTTTCTATTACAAAAAAAAAAGCATGCATTTCAAATTGAACCAAATGAACTGCCATAATGTCCCTGTTGAAATGATGTAATTCCTTCTACGCTGATGTGTGTATTTAGCAGCATGTGGGATATGTAAGCGTATTTAACATTTCCTTTACAAATGATATCTGTATACATTCTTACAGTATAATAAAATGACTTCCTTACTTTACTGGAATCTGCTGATATTTCAAAGGGTTCCAAGGTGGACCAGTTACTTAGTTACCATGGTAATGTTCCTTTAGTTCCTATTTAATGGCTAGAATACCTCTTTATGTGGTTGCTAGGAAAATAACTAGAACTAGAGTTAGAATTTACATAGGAGAAATATTAACACTGATGAAAGTGATGTGTTTTCTCAATTTAGGTTATTAACTAGTCATCCTATTTTGTTAAATCCCTAAGGGCCCATTTAAACTACGTGCGCGTTAGTTGCAGTGCCATTCAATTTGAATGGCACCCTGACACACTAAGGCAAAGCACCTGCATTGCAGAGTGCTACAATGCATGCCATCATTTATTTTGACATATTAGGGTGCATTGACAGCCCATTAATTACAATGCACAGCAGTGCACATTAATTTGCAGATGCATTAACACACCACAAAAATATAAATGGGCTTTAAATATATTTCTGTATTTAGCTATAGCACTATT